AATCTGTCTTAGAGGAAGTACAACCAGATTGCTCCTTCGAGGCAAGGACGGGCAAACTTCATCTCACATACTTTGGGCATGTTGTCAGGAGAGGCAGTCCTCGGAAAAAGACAACATGTTGGGAAAGATCGAGGGCAGTGAAAGAGAGGAAGACCCTCAACAAGAGGGACTGACGGAGTGACTTCAACAAAGGCTTTGAGCACGCTGGAAATTGTGGTGATGGCAGAGGACAGGGCAAAATCACTATGAATCAAAATCAACTGCACCTAATTAACAACAGCAAGGTATGTGGTTCAAATCCACCAGCAGCTCCACGAGAGAAAGATGGGCAAATTTCCTCTCATGTGATTTATTGCCTTTGAAAACCTAACGGGAGCGTCAGCTAGTAATCAGTTTTTACTTGAAATGCAACAATACAATGACAAGTGGCAACGTTTCCCTCCTCCTTTCTATTTAATTACTACTTTGTTCTCGAAGATACATAGATTCACAAATACTAATAAATATAATATTGTAGCTAAAACAAAAGAAATATTTGACAAAATCCTACATTATAAACACAGATAAAACCATGTGATTTGAAGTGTGGTAAATGGGTCACAATGCAACCAAAAGAACATTAAAAGGTCCCAAAATTAAATTAAAATAGAGTTGGCATATTGTTGATCTATTAGTACATGGTAGAACTGTGTTGCAATCTCAAAGGTATACGGTTCAAATCCATTAGCTTCTCTGTGGGAAGAGGATGGACAATCTCCTCCTGTGTAATTTACTATCTCTGAAAACCCGCTGGAAGGTCAGCTAGGGTTGGTTTCTACCTAATAGTACACAACAACACAATGAAGCTGGACTTACGAAAAATATTTTTGTTATTATAACAAATAAAACAATTCCACTGCTGCTCAGTCAATTCTTACTCCTAACAACCTTCCATTAGGTTTCTGAGCTATAAAATGTACAGGCAAAGGCTTCTCATCTTTCTCCTTGGAACCACTAATGAATTTGAAGCACTGACCTTTCTGTTTGCAGGCTGACACAATATATACAAGACCAGGCTACCTGAAACTAATAGGGTCATTTCTTATTAAAAAATAGAAAGTCTTGTTGAAACACTACACTAAAATTTTTACAGTCACTTTGATGTTAAGTTTCTGATAACGTCACCTGATGTGGTTTGTGTGCTCATGCGCAAATACCACACTATTCTATATAAGAGACATAAGCACTCCCCTACACACACACACACACACACACACACACACACACGACTCTTAAAGGGATAGATCCCCATGGTCTTAAAGCCAGGAGATGAGCGTCAAAACCCTCCTAACATAGTTTGTTTACCATGTGGGCTCCAGCTCATGGCTACCTCTTGCCTATCAGAGTTGAACTGAGCTCCACAGTGTTTTCAATGGCTGGATTTTCAGAAGGTTGCCATGCCTTTCTTATGCACTGTCTCCAAACTGACTGAAATTTGAACCTTGTAGCTAGCAGACACGTGTGTTAACTGAACAATAAGGCCCCTGAGCTTCTTCAGAAAACACAGTCTGTGAAGTCAGCTATGTTCGTGAATTACTGTGACAGATCTACAGGAGATGGGTAAAGAAATCAAGAGTAAACACTTAGAAACTGGGAACAAATCTGTCAGTATGATTTGATGTCGGTCGAAAATAATAATAATAATAATAATAATAACTATTATTATTATTATTTAAAAAACAGAAAAAGACAAGAAGAAAAAAAACCCCACAAACCATTACTGTAGAATAGTATAAGGATCCAAGGGGAGAGGGGATGGAAGCAGAGGGATGAGGACGTTCAAGGGGATGGGGGGATTAATCATGGAGGTTGTACAATTTGATGGGTGGAGGTGAGGGAAATTGAAATAATTTGTTCTTGAAAACAATGCATTCAAATTTTGTAAATAAACTAGTAGAAAATAAAAAGAAACACTCAATAAAAAATGTATGAAGACTTTAACAAAACAAAACATACAAACCCAGGCTAATATTTTGCATATCTCTGTCCTTTTTCATAAAAGTGACACAGTCACCAGGTATATTTCTTTATTACAGACCTTCTCAGAATCTTTAACTTGCTAATGTGTACTATACCTCCCCAGCAGAGCCCCAGGGATAAGTGTATGTCCTGTACTTGTTTGACCATGCAAGTCTCTTTTGCTGGCAAACTGTTTTACTGTGTCTTATAAGAAAGCATTATTCCTGGATGATGCAGTTAATCACTTAACTACCAGTTGAACGCTTGCCAATGCAAACCCACAGAGAGAGGCCTTGGAAGACAAGTCTAGGGATCCACTTCTGAAATGTCACAGCCTTGAAAACCCTGAGGAGCAGTTCCACTCAGGTGGCTGCCAGAGTCAGAACTGCCCACAACGCACACCTCTGGTGGCTTAGTGGCAAGGAGCTGTCCTGCCAATCCCAAGGCAAGTGGTTCAGATCAACCAACTGCTGTGTGGGAGGAAGACGGGGAATGAACAACAACAACAACAACAACTGATCCACCGAGACTCGCAAATTAAACACATAAAAAACCTGGTCCTTGGAACGTTGATCTATAGAGAGTTGTGCTACTATCGCAAAGGTGGTGTCTTCCTGGAGGTTCGAATCCACCAGCAGCTCTGGAGGGAGAAAAATGGAAAATTTCCTCCTGTGCAATTTACAGCCTTGCTGGAGTGTCAGCTGTGAATCGGTTCCAAATCAATGGCAAACTGCATGGTGAGTGAGTGTGTGACCCCACAGGCAGTTTGAGAATCATTACACAAGAAGCTCATTCCAAAAGTTGGGTATGAACTGGATCCTTTTTATGCTTGCAAGAATACAATTTTCAGACAATTTTCTTACGCTACTTAAATATCAAGATTTCTTAAAAGAAGTAATTTTAAAGTATGCCTAATACGTTGAGTTGCTGAATACCACGGAGTCAGAGCCAACACATAGCTGACCCTCCAAGTGTGTTTTCAGAGGCAGTTAATTGCATGGGAGGAGACTGTCCATATATTAATTTTATTAATGATTATGATGACCCTGATTCAGGCCATAGTTTTTTTCAATCACTTGCTATGCTACTGGGAGCTGGATAATAAATAAAGATCACAGAAGAATGCCTTCGAGTTGTGGTGTTGAAGAAGAGCACTAAATATTCCATGGACTGCCAAAAAAAAAAAAAAGCCCACACAAGTATATACATCTTGAAAAAGGTACAGCCAGAACTTTCCTTATAAGCAAAGATGATAAAACTTCATCTCTTATTTTTTGGGTATGTTGTTAGGTGAGATTATCCCTTGGAAAGGGACATCACGCTCAAAAGGTGAAAGGTCAGTGAAACAGAAGAAGACCCTCAGCCAGATGGACTGACATAGTGACTGCAGCAATGGGTTCAAGAGTTGTGAGCATGGTATAAGATAGGACAGGGTTGTTATTAGCATATGAAAAATATCCTTGGGATTAGATCTACTGTTGTGCATAGGGAAATTATGAGTTGTACTTGACGTGATGGCACCTAACAACAGTATATTAAACTCCTCCAATTAAAAGTTTAATTGATCTACATATAGTTAAATTGAGGGTAAATAAGATAAAATACAATCAAGTCAGAGACACTATGTTCTCTGAACAAAAAGATTCTTAGGGTCAAGCAAGTTGAGATCTATTCTCCATCAATAGGGTACCCTGTTGTTGTTGTTGTTGTTGTTGTTGTTGTTGCTATGTGCCATCAAGTTGCCTGTGACTCATAACGACCCTAGGTACAACAGCCCTAAACCCTGCTCTGACCTATGCCAATCGCACTGTCTGAATCAGGGTCATCACCCAGCCCCACTACTCCAGTCACTGAATCCATCCACCTTCAGTTTTCCTCTCCTGCATTGTCCCTCCACCCTCCCAAGCATCACGTCCCTCTCCTCTCCAAGGACTGGTCCCTCCTTACAACATGTCCAAAGTATGCCTCCAATGAGCAGCCCGGCTTAACCCTCTGGCATTTGAGATGCCAGAGATTTTAGTATTTGAGTCAGCAACACAACTCACTGCAGACTGCCACCAGACGACTCTTGCCACGCCTCCGGCGAGTGCAGTGTGTCAGGCACCTGCTTGCCCCTCCCTTGGAAATGCATGCAAGCAGGATCCCAAGAAGCACAGCCGGCAGCCCTACATTTGGCTAAAGTCCCAGCTGGAGAGTTGGCTCCAGTGGCATCCACTCCCTAAACAACATGCCTCTGGAAACTCTATGAACTTTAAGAAACAACGATAGTTAGAGAAAGGCTTCTGATCTTTTGTTCATAGGGTTGCTATGATTCATGCTTGACTCGACGGCAATCAACAATAACTGGGACGAGGTCTTCCTCAAGGACACTGTGGCAAAGGGCAGTGGGGCTACAGCAGAGCAGGACCATGGCGATTCAGGGTCCGATCCCTGGAGCTATCCTTCCCCCTCCAAACCTCCTGCCATCATGGTACTGACGTGGTACACTGCCATGCTCTCTTGAGCTGGATCAATACTGTATTAGTCCTCATGGAAGGACAACTAAACACAAATAGTATCACAACCTCAAAAGAAAAAGCAATGTAACAAAGAAACCATGTCAAGCTTTGTTTGCTGGCAGTTCTTTCTCACCTCACACCATTATCTAACTCAAATTCAATCTCTCCTTCCTCATCCCAGCAATCAATAATAATACATTTTCCCTCCAACAACTGTTATTTGGAACTGGGATGTTATTGTGAGTTCTGCTTACTTCAAAGGCAGCGTTCAGAATCTGAGCGACTCTTACAAGGTCATATGGTCAGCGAGATGTAGGACACGGGACTGGTTTTCTTACAAGCTCATCTAACCACCAAACCACGAGGTCTTTGTTAAGGTCAAAATTATCATGAAACGTTATTTACATAGTACACAACGCCTCTCCTTTCTGCAGCTGTTGCAAACACACGCCACAATCAAAATAATAAAAGAAACAAAGATAAGGAGCAATTCATTTTACTTACTGGTCACATAAACACTGAATGTTACGGAAGAGTTGGCATCAGAGTTGGACACTGAAAATGTGTAAGTGCCTCCTTCGGACCCTTTTAACCTGGTTAGATGAAGTTCACTTACATATCTACAAAGAAAGAACAATAAGTCAATCATTCATTGGATTGTCTCCGAGTTCGTGTCTTTTCACAGCTCTGTGTGGAAATACAAAGATATTATATCTATCTGGAGACAGGGAGAGTGCAACGCTGACTCACATACACTGAGTATGCTGCTAGGAGTGGCGGGTCCTTGGAGAAGGATATCATGCCTGGAAAGTCAGTGTAAGAAAGGAAGATCCACACCAAGATAGACTGACACAATAGCTGTAAAAATGGGTTCAGGTATGTCACAGATGAGAGGAGGGCACAGAATGGGCACAGTTCAGATCTGCTGTTCATAAGGTGGCTGAATTCCAGGCAACTTGAAGGACCAGAGCAAAAATAATTTATAAATATATGCCTGTTTTGAAGTGGGGGGGGGTGTGAGGAACTGGGTCATTTAATTAAAATCCACATTAAGCCCATTAAAGCACACCCATTCATTACCTGACTCTCCGAGACCCTATGAGACACAGCTGAACTGCTCCACAGTGCTTCCAAGCTGTCATCTTTACAAAGCAGCTCTGATGATGCTTAAGGCATTTGACTGCTTACCAAAAGGTTGGCAGTTTGAGCACACCAGCCACTCTGAGGAAGGCAGATGGGGCAGTTTTTCTCTATGAAGATGTACATCCTTGGGAACGAAAACCCTGTGAGGCGGTTCTACTCTGTTCTTTAGAGTTGCTATGAGTCAGAATCAACTTGACCATAATGATTTGGTTTGGTTAATCTTTATAGAGTCTTATTGCCACATCTTTTTTCCTCAGCAGCTGAGGAGAAAATTATCATTGCTTCTACGCCACGAAGGCTTCTCAAAATCCATATTAGCAAAAACCTATTACACGTATAAACACATCGGTCTTTATACTTATGTATGCAAAGAGATAGATGATAGATGATAGATAGATAGATAGATAGATAGATAGATAGATAGACAGATGATAGATGTTGTTTTGTTGTTGTTGAGTGCCATCAAGTCAAACACAACTCACAGCAACCCTATGAACAAAAGACCTGAAGACTTTCTATAACTATAGTCATTTTTCAAAGTTCATAGTTTACAGAGGCATGTGGTTTAGGAAGTGGATGCCACTGCTGCTTCCAAAGATAGACAGATAGACAGACATAGGCATAGGCATAGGCAGACACAAACATAGACATACACAGAGAGCTCTGGTGGTCTAGTGGTAAGAAATTGTACTGCCAAACCTAAGGCAGGTTGTTTGAATCCATAAACAACTCCTTGGGAGAATGATGGGTTGGCACTCTCCTCCTGCACAATCTACACCCTCTGCAAATTCACTGGAGGCTCAGCTATGAGTTAGTTCCAACTCAAAGACAATGAGAGATACAACCATATCTATTTTCTCTGAAGTCTGTGTCAGAGAGCAGGAAGGCGCCCTCATAAAGGTGCACTCCCTCCACTCTTACCTATCCTCCTGGCCACTTCCTTCTCGTCCCCAGTCTTCAGTGAACTTCGTTCCCACCAGTGTTCTTAATGCCCCCATCCTACTGTGCTCAGCAGTACAAGTCAGGTAAACCCAGGCGAAAAGGTATCTGCATGCCACCTGTCCCCAAGCAGACCCTCTTCAGAGCTCTCTCAAGGTCAGCATGCGTGCTCTCACCTTCCTTCTTGCCTTACTTTCGTGTTTGGTTTCCATGAAACCGCAACCTCCTGCCACCCTGTCCACTTCTTCTCCGCCCCTTCATGGTATCTGTTAGCTGAATGTCCATTTATCCTCCAGGGCTGAAAGGACGAAGCACTGCACAGCTCTCAGGAGAGTTACAAAGGGGCTCTGATGTAGACAAAGTCCCCCGAAATTGAGTGGTGCCTGATCTAATACGATCTACACAAGCTACATGACTCCCACTCAGCCACTCTCACTGCTCTGTGACAATCCTCTCTCTCAATGAACTACCTGCTGCCGGCTCATGGCTTTCAAATCTTTACCACGCACCTAGAACTAGAACTAAAGAGCAAGGATATCTAATCAGCTTAACCACTAAGGTGCTCCTGATCTAAACTATGGTATTTTCAATTGCTTCACCTGCATCTGAAAACTGGACAGTGAATAAGGAAGACCAAAAAAGAATAGATGGTTTGAATTGATGTGTTGGTGAAGAGTACTGAGTACAGGGAGAACAAACAAATCTGTCTTCAAGGAAATAGAACCAAGGTGCTCCTTACAGGCCAGGATGGTAAAACTCCACCTCACATATGTTGGGCTTAGAGTCGGGAGGGGGTGATCCTTGGGAAAAGGCATCACCCTGGGAAAGGTAGAAGGTCAGCAAGAGAGGAAGATCCTTAATAAGGTGGGTTGATACAATGACTATAAAATGGGCTTGAGCGTGGCAGAGATGCTAAGGACAATGCAAGATAGGGCAAGGTTCAGATCGTAGTCAACTCAACAGCACATAACAAACAGTCTAGAATCTAGAACTGAGTCCCAAGTTTCCACTATAGAAACCATTTTGCTTCTACACTCACATAGTCTGAATGCAACTGCAAACAGCTCACATGGTTAGGGACTGCCCTTAAACAACTGAAGGCTCTGGAAGTTTCCTGTCCAGTCATGTTCACTGTCAGGCAATAACTGATAATAAAGTTCTATAAGTTTAGCTCTGGAGCACCCGCAGGATCAGAGAGTGGAAGGCTCCATCAGCTCCCTCCATTCCCTCGCTTCCTTATCCTGCTTCCATCCCCGACAGGTTTCTGAGACAACCTTAACAAATCACTCCCATACGAACCCGGTCTTAAGCTCAGCTTTGGAACACATCTTACCTGAACATCTCCATCAGAGATCCTAGTCAATCTCAAATTCAGCAAACTCCAAACCAAATGCATTGCCTTTCCTCAGAAGGTGGTCGCGGTAGATTCTCCTTATGACCCTTCTTGTCCTCATCAGAGAATGGGGCCACTACTCACTATCCAGCCTGGCTGAGGAACACAGCTCCTCACCTCTTTCACACGTCCTCATCATCAAGTCTTGTTAAGGAAATAGCCCTGACACCTCCCAACTCCATTCTCTTCCTTCTATTCTTCATGCTTGCTCCTGACATGATTCTCTCTCACCTATATTCTACATCAGCCAACAAGCTCCTGACTGGGGAAAGGCACACAAACTACATATAGCCAAGCACCCCACACTTTATCAGTCATTTGAGCTTAGTCAAGTTATGTAACCCTCTGGGCCTCAACTTCTTCTGTGTAAAAATTTTAAAACTGGAGTGCTTGTGTGAGGACTAAAATTAACAAGTTAACCAAAAATAATGAGTAAAGGTTTTACTGTATTATGATAGCAGAAGCACACACAACACATATGTAAGATGGTTGTTGTTTTATGATAAATATTTTTAAATAAAATGAAATATCATGGTTCAAAGCTACATAATGATTCTTATTTTTATTGTTGTTAGGTGCTGTTCAATTGAGTATGACTCACAGAGACCCTATGAGCAAGAGAGCTGAACTCTGTCGTAATTTGTGCCATCCTCAACATCTCTGACATACCTGGGAACACAGCTGCAGTCACTGAGTCAAGCTGTCTCGTTAAGGGTTTTCCTCTGCTTTGATGACCCTCCAACTTTCCAAGTTTTAGTACAGTTTAAATAAACTAACTCTCCTCTTTCTCTGAGGAGGATCACTCATTGTATTTCTAGTATTGTCAGTAACTACCTGGAAACTATCCTTAAGAATCATGGGGAAAAAAACAACTCTGAGACATCATCTTACCCCAGTAAGAATAGCAAAATTCAAAACAGCAGCAAACAGAAAATGCTGGCAAGGTTGTGGAGAAACTGGAACCCTTATTCACTGTTGGTGGGAGTGTAAAATGGTACAACCACTATGGAAGGCAGTATGACACTTCTTTAAAAAGTTGGAAAGAGAAATACCATTTGACCCAGCAATTCCACTATTGGGAATATACCCTAAAGAAATCATAACTGCTACCCAAGCAGATATATGCACACCCATGTTTATCGTGGCTTTGTTCACAATAGCAAAGAGCTGGAAACAACACCCAAGTGCCCATCAACAAATGAATGGATAGAGAAGCTGTGGTATATTCACACAATGGAATACTATGCTGCATTGAAAAACAAGGAACTCATGCAATATTATTCAAAGTGGGTGACCCTGGAGGACATTATGCTGAGTGAAATATCTCAGTCACAAAAAGACAAATACTGCATAGTGCCAACTGTTGTAAAACAGGACTGACATCGGGGTTGGGAGGAACTTCAGAAAGAAGGGGATAAATAATGTATACCGCGCATTGAAACAGATGAAGGAGAGACTGTTAAAAAGGGATATAGGATTAGGTATTATTTTCATGACAAGATTACAGAAAAAGAAATGCATAATAAAGTGGACTGTGGACTTGGGAGGGGACTATAGAACAATGAAAGAATTTTTTTTTCTGTCCAAAGAGAAAAACGAACTGGGGGTAGGGGGCAGGGAGGGAAATGAATGAATAGGGGAAAAATTAAATGGAAAGAATACGCTGTAAAAAATACATGTTGCATTAAAAAATCACTAAAAAATAAAAAAAGAATCATGGGAAAGGGGTTGTAGTTAAATTTACAACAAAATACATTTGAGGGGGCTTAGGACATATAGAGAATGAGAGAATTGAGATGGGAAGTGAGAGGAGATTTCCTCCTGTACAAAGCAGTTTCTCATAAATTAACGGACCACAGAAAAAAGGCCTGTTAAGCCATATTGACAAAAAGGGGACGGGCCTTTTTCTTACCTGATGTTACTTTCGTTCTCAGACTTGGGATAATTCTCCCACTTATCAGGGGAAGTTCTGTTCATATAAATCCACTGCTGGTGTTCAGGTTTAGGGTACGCCTCATATTCCACAATTAAGACTAGATTTTCTCCATCATTTACAAACAATGTAGTGTTCACCATGGGAGAGATCTTAATGAATCCTTTATCTGAGGACAACAGAACAGGACAGAAACCATTAGAGCAATAACCACACAACACAGAACACAACTTTACAACTTCAGGTCCTCAACTTACACCCAAACCACAATTGAAACATACACAAAACAAACAAAAAGATTTGTGTCTGTAGCCTGTGATTTTTAAAAACCTTGAATTTATTGTGAAAGCAAATAATTAAAACTTCTGGAATTTGCTGCTATTTCCTTATTATTATGTATGCCTTAGAAATTCTGAATTCTGACATTGCTCTTTGTCATATCTCTTAGCTCTCCCTTTTATATAAGGTACTTCTCTGAGATATTTTTTCCTAAGAAAAGGAAATCATGTGTAAATATTGTAATATAGGAAACCGCTGATGGAAAATGTAAGGTCCAAAATAAAAGACTCAGAATATATCTTTATCATGTCAATAATTAAGCATCTTTTTTCCCCTCTGAAAACTAATTTTTAAACTGCTCCCTCCCTCCCTCTCGTTGCCATTGAATCATGATCAACTCATAGCTTACAGGTTTTCAGGACGCTGTAAATTGCACTGACGGAAATTGCCCATCTTTTCCCCTTGGAACTGCTGCTGGATTTGAACCACTGAAGAGGTTCTGCCTTTGGGCAAGCAGCACAATTCCCTCCAAACTATGCTGCCAGAGCTGCTGTAAATTGATTTAGTAAGAGTCTAATGGCTTACAACAGGTCTTGGTACAGTTTTTTTCTGTATGAGAGTAATCTGCAATGTTGTTCCCGGCTCATATAATTTGTATTTACAACATAAATAAGCTTAGAATAGCTGTAAAGATTGAGGCACTGACACAGCTATACTTTGGCAAAAATCATTTGTATCTTCTAAAACCTAAATAGTATCTCTGAGGAGATTATGCTCATATTATTGTTTGTTGTTGCTGTGAACCATAGGATTGGAACCAACAAATGGCTGACCCTCTAGTGAGTTTTCAGAAGCAGTTAATCGCATGGGAGGAGACTGTTGATCCTCTCCCACAGAGCAGCTGGGGGCCTTGAACCACTTGCCTTTGGGATTGCAGTGCAGCTTCTTGCCACTAGGCCACCAGAGCTCCCCTCAGTAGAGTTCATATTAGTATTTCTGAATTCACTCACTCATTCCTTGCTGTCAGGCCAGAACTGAATCATCCCTGACCTTCTAGAGAGTTTATGAGGCTGTTCATTCAGAGACTGCCCATCTTTCTCCAGAGCAGCTGCCAGGAGTAAATGCAAGTGGATTTGATCCACCAAGAGGTGTAGCATTTGGGTTAGCAGTGGTTCTCCCTACAGACTATGACACCAGAGCTCTCTTTTCTAAATTAGTATTTCCAAATGTATGAACTTGTTTTATAACCTTTAATTTAGAGATGAAAAAGATCAAGTACTAGAAAATCCTCAAAGTGCCCTCAAATGTCAACGACAGACATACACAGTACCATCCTTTTAGTGTTAAAGAAGATATGATGTAATGAATATGAAAACTCAATAGAAAATCATGGTGGAAGGAATCTATTTCTGTCCTAAAATATGGGGTTCCTGTACCTTAAATTTGTTTTTAATGATCTGAACCATTTGAAAAAGGACATAACCTCATCTTTGAATTACAAAATTGATTAATTTCTAGCATTAACTGACAATAACAAAATAATTTTAACAGATTATTTTTTTATTCTCCTTTGCTCGTATAAAAACACTGTGTGTCATGAGGTTACAAAAACAAGACCAAAAAAACCACACCAGACATTTGGAATATACAGCCTCCCATCATGGTTTCCTAAGCAACTATCTTAAAAGATGCATGGCCTTCTTAAAATTCTTTCATTCTTGACATTTATTAGTTTAAAAAGTATTTGGATTGAATAGTTCATATTTTTAAAGTCAATGTATTAAAATAACAGGAAATAGGAAATGAAAATAAAAATGGAAAGATGTTCAGCTAAACCAGTAATTAAATTAAAATGAGTAATCATTTTCTTATTAAAAACAGCAACCAAAAAGGTGGGGGGGTGGTACAAAAAACACTATTATAAAATTAGCTCAACGGTTTGGTACGTGTGGTAGCAATAGCACAATAGATTTCTGGTGGTGCAGTCTGTGGGAGGCTGTGCTGCTGATCCACAGGGTGAGCCCTGTCAAGGTCAAGTCCACCAGCTTCTCCTCGCGTGCAACTGACCATCCCCGAAAACCCCCTGAAAAGTGAACCACAAGGCAATTTAGACTAGACAGAATGACTTCAACTTAAAATTGGCCCAACTCTTAGAATTACAGACTTTTTTGTTTTTAAAATACGTATTCTTCACTTTAATCTTGCAATTTCCATTTGAGAACTCATCTTAATAAGCGGGCAAGTTACAAGTACAAAGAAGTGCTATTTACACCGGCAGTAGCAATTTTAAAATGAGAAAATAGAAAACAGGTTAAGTGAATAATAGTAAGATACCACACAGCCTTAAGAAATAGTAATGATAAATTTCTTGAATAAAGGAGTAGTAAAATAATTATCAGTATTATTTATAGCCATCATTTATAGAATGTTTGTGTACCAAACTGCCCTACCACCTTATTTATTTTATTAAAATTATAACAAACTACTTAATCTTAACCTGATACTGAGAAAAAGGTCTTATAATCCCTATTCTAAATATGAAAAAAATCATGACCTGGAAAGAAGCTATATAGCTAGCTACACAATAGCAGAGATTAGATATGAACAAGTTTCTGTGAAAACGCTCCAACTTGACCTGTTCCTTGTCCTTGAGTATCTACATACTTTTAAGTTGAGAGACAGACCTAATAATTCCTATGTTAAATTATGATTTTATACATATCTAGGCAATACAGTAATGTTCTAAAAATAGTTGTATCAAGTTAGTAGGATTGTTGGACAGATATAATTCTATTTGGGTTTTTTTCATATTTAGAAATTAATTCTAAAACTCTAAAGAAATATTAACTACCATTGCTGTCAAGGGAGCTCTTAGCAGCTTAGTGGCAAGGAAATGTGCTTTCAACCCAAAGGCACATGGTTCGAATCCTCTAGCTGCTCTGGTGTGAAAAAGATGGACAATTTCCTCCTGTACCCTAACCCTAACTGCTTCTGAAAACTCACTGGAGGGTCTGCTATGAGTGCGTCCTGACTCAACAGTACACAGCAACACTCTTTGCCACTATTTGGTTAAAAGTGCCCTAGCAATGTAATGAGTAACATATCAGGCTCTAATTTAAAAGTCAGCTGTTCGAATCCACCAGCTGCTTGATCAAGATAGGTAATTTTCTCCAGTGCAATGTACAACCTCAGGAAACCCACAGAGGGGTTATAATTACAATAAAGGGGAGCAGGAGTATGAATATGTTGTTGTTTGTTGTTATACACCATCGAGTCGCCTGTGACTCATAGCGACCCTATGTACAACAGCCCTAAACTCTGCTCTGTCCTGTGCCAATCGCACTGTCTCCAACACTCCCATCCCAATTATCCCAGTCACTGAATCAATCCACCTCATAGAGGGCCTTCCCCTCCTGCGCCGTCCCTCCACCCTCCCAAGCATGATGTCCTTCTCCAAGGACCGGTCTCTCCTCACAACATGTCCAAAGTATGTTAGACGGAGCCTCAGAATCCTTGCCTCCAAGGAGCCACCCGGTTTAACCCTTTCCAGGACGAATCTGTTTGTTTTCCTAGCAGTCTATGGTATTCTCAATACTCTTCTCCAGCACCACAGCTCAAAGACATCAATTCTCCTTCTATCCTCTTTGGTCATTGTCCAACTCTCTGATACATAACAAGTGATTGTGAAGACCATGGCCTGTATCAGATGCACCTTAGTCTCCAGAGAGACACCATTGCCCTTCAGTACTTTGGAGAGGTCCCTAACAGCAGACTTTCCCATGGCAATGAGCCTTTCAATTTCCTGGCTACTGGTGCCAAGAGTGTTGACTGTGGAGCCAAGCAAACTAAAGCTGTGTACAATCTCAATCTCTTCACCATCCATCCTGATGTTGCCAATCATGTTTAGGGAATAAATGTTTTGTTTACATAGTACATACATTAAATGGTTAAGTTCTGAAGTTCTTCATTCAAAGACACTACACAGTGAAAAGTATTCAAATATTTCAGACAACAATTTGCATTGAAATGATTTGTCACAAAACTACCATACATAAAATACCTACGACCCTCGAGTTTTTCTATAGTATAATTTGCTCAATATGGTTTTATGTCCCACAGAAAGTTTCAAATTCATCAAGTGGGAGAATTATTAGAATCAAAGAACTCCACCTGGGTTGTAACAGCATAAAGTATGGTTTCCCAAGAACTTTCTTATTAAGAAATTGGTGACACATTAAAATTTAATCAAATGCAAACCCCAAGCTCAGTACTTTGTTATAAAATCTATTGCCTTTCACCTTTTCATGGACTAAGGAGTTAAGTAAGAGACTGATTCTCAAAGGGGGAAAAAAACTGCAGTCAGAGTTAAAGGAGGGTGCATTGGAAAGTTAAGGGTCAGAGTCCCAGTTCAAAACCAGGTTGGCATGATCCTGAGCTTGTCCTCTGCACCACTCCATGCTTACCCCTCCAATCCCACACCCAGCCCCTGAAAAACTAGTTTTCTCTTTGGCTCCTCCTGCTCTTGTCCCAGCCTAACTTACTCCTAAAACAACAAAAAGCCATATTCTGGTTTCACTGCAAATCTTTCCAGTTATACAGTAATGTTCTTGGAAATTGATGAATGGATTTTAAAATTCCAATTACATACAACAGTGCACTCAAAACATCCTTACTAATTGCTTTCTGGAGCTGAAGCTGATCTATCAACATGCTCCCTAATCAATTTAGCCAATTAGCGCTTATGAAGTTTAATATTTTAAAAGCAAAGCTTTCTATTCAAATTAATAAATGGTTCACAATCACGTTGAGGGAGAAGCAGTGCTCTTTCTGAGACTCTAAGGTTACAAGTCAAGTCTTTCCTGTGTTCAATCTGATGAGCTGTTTTCCGTTAGGATAACAGGAGACACATCCAAATTTTGACATTATAAGAAAAATCTACCTCTAACCCTGACTTACACATATATTAAAGAAGTTTGGAGTGGATAAAATTGGAGAAATTAAAAAATATATTGCATCATTGCATGACAGCTCAAGATGAAAAACTGAAACACCCTTATTATTGTTGTTATATGTGCCATTGAGTTGTCTGCGACTCATAGTGACCCTATGTACAACAGCCCTAACCTCTGCTCTATCCTTATTATTATTGCCAATTTTATTGTCTCTGACAAACCTATCCTCATTATCTCAGTCACTGCATTAATCCATCTCATCCAGGGTCCTCTTCTCTTGTGCTTCCCCTCCACTCTCCCAAGCATGAGGTCCCTCTCCACAGACTGATCCCGCCTTACAACATGTCCAAAGTATGTCAAATGAAGCTTCAGAATCCTTGCCTCCAAGGAGCAGCCTGGTCTCACCCTTTTCAGGAAAAACCTGTTTGTTTTCCTGGCCGTCCGTGGTATATTCAATACTCTTCCCCAGTACCACAGCTCAAAAGCATCAATTCTCCTTCTATCAGTTCTACTCTTTGTCCAGCTTTCTGATGCATAGCAAGTAATTACAAAGACTATGGCCTGGATCAGGTGCACCTTAGTCTCCAGACTGATATTATTGCTCTACAGTATGTTGGCAAGGTCTCTGACAGAAGACTTTTCTAATGCAATTGGTCTTTTAATTTCCTGGCTGCTGGTACCAACAATGTTGATTGTGGAGGCAAGCAAACTAAAGCTATTAACAGTCTCAATCTCTTCACCATCTATCATGATGCTGTCAATTAGCCTAATGGTGAGAATCTTTGTTTTCTTGATGGTGAGAATCATTATTATCTTAATGTTGAGCTCCACTCAATATTGAAGGCTGTAGTCCTTGACTGCAGCAAGTACTTCAGTTCCTCCTCAGTTTCAGCAAGCAGAATTGTGTCCTCTGCATAACGTAGGTTGTAGATAAGTCTATCTCCAACCCTGATGCCACACTTCTCCTCACAGAGCCCAGCCTCCTGAACAATCTACTCTGCATATAGATTAAAAAGGTGTGGAGATAGGACATATCCCTGGCGTACACACCTTAACAAGCATTTAATCAAAGACAAACACTAAGAATATGGTGGCATATTAAAGAGACAAGAAAATAAGATTAAATTCAAATCATGTCCAACCCCTCCCAACAAAAAATATAACATATCCAGGTAAGTAATTTTTAAGTTAGTTTTATTTTTGGTAAATCAAAACTAGCAAAGATTCCACTATTTCTACTCTCTTTTAGTTGTTGTTTAAAAAGAGGAATATTAGGTGCTGTTGAGTCAAGTACAACTCATAACAACCCCACGAACAACAGATTATGAACACTATTCTGTGCCAACCTCACAATCTCTGACACACTTGAGCCCATTGCTACAGTCACTGTGTCAATCCACCTGGTTGAGGGCCTTCCTCTCTTTTGCCATCTCTCAACCCTTCCAAGCAAGATGTTCTTCTCCAAAGAAGCAATATGTCTCCTAATTTCCTGACTGCTAGTTCCAAGTGCACTGGTCATGGATCCAACTAAAATGAAATCACTGGCAGTCTTGATATTTTCTCCATCTATCATCATTTCTTTTAGTAGATGCTTGGAAAAGAAATCCTGTGATTCTAGAGCAGGGAAGGTAATTCTACACACTGGATCTGATATCAAACAGAAACAGATTGTCATGCTCCATTTGAATGTGCAGTGGATCCCATGATCCATGCCACAGTGGACTTCATTCTGAAAGGATAAGTCCTACAATTTGAGGACTGAGAAAAGGTGCTGGTAGAGAGGAGAAGCCCAAGTCACCCTTCTGTGCTGTAAGGGTACTGAAAACAACTGGAAAAACAGCTAGAAGATTCAAAGGAATCCTTGTAGCTCTAGTGGTGCAGCAGTCTGCAGGAAGTTGCCCTACTGACCCAAAGAGCACTTCTCTGACGGTTCAAATCCACCAGTGGCACCGTGGGAGGATGGCTGATCTCCTTTCAAGAGATTTCTAGCTTTGGAAAGTCAATGGAAGGTGAGCTATGAGTTGATTCTGACTTGATAGTAATGCGTCTGACCATTAGTGCTCTTCGGCAGGGAGAGTTTATATCCATTTCCAAATGCAAGTCTTTCAACCAGGACTCAAACTCCTCAAGAAAAGCTCAACTGTGTTTGGGTTGGTAAGCTGAAAAGAACACCAGGTATCAACAACTTCAGTTACATCGTTCAGTTTCCCTCTGTGAAATGTTAACATTGGCTCCCATGTGCTAGTCACAAAAGCCCACAAAGAAAATTCTCATTCATTCATTCGGTGATAATAAAATTCCAAGAATCTGTTCAACATTCCACTTGTGTAAAGAGAAAACCGCCGAGTAATTTTCTTTCACTACTGCCAGTAATTTATACATTCCCATAGAGATATTTACCTACTACTTTCAAGGTGGTTGTGACATTTGCTGATCCAAATGTATTATTGGCATAGCACATGAATACTCCAGAATCATTAACTCTTGTTGAGCTGATTGTCAACATTTCCTGACGTTCATAGGAGAACCCAACATTATGCCGGCTTGTACGGGTGACCTTTGCTTTTACCTGCTGGTTTTAGGAAGAGAGAGAGGAAAAAAAAATAGACATTACCATATAATTTATATTCCAGAACTTTCGTAGACAAATTAAAAATAGCAGCAATTAACTTCTCCATATTAGCATGCATTATACACTACTAAAGAATACTAACGCATCATGACAAGCCTGTCATTGGGACCATTCATAATGCAGGATTATGGTGAAAGTTAGTTATTATTAAAGACTGGCAGGAAAGAAAGGAAAAAAAACCCACATGAAAATGCATCCCTTAATAACTATGGCATATATAATTCCAAAGGGTGTATGTGCAATGTTGAATTTTAAAAAGTGCTAGATAAGAAATATTAGAGAATATTGACTTTTTGATTCCACACTATGAATCAGCATATGGTAACACTATGTTGTTTTAGACGTCAGTATTTTTCTATTCCATATTCCAATGACTCCCAGAAAACACATGGTTAACAACTATAATGTTCTACCTTATAAACAATTAATGTTTTCATTAATAAAAACAAAGCATTCCTTACATAGATGGCAAAGTCTAAGCAGAGCCACAACCAGCTTGCCAATTAATTGTACCATTAGCTAGCAGAACTTGAGCAAATGCTAACAGCAAGTCCGCAAAGTATCAGACATAAGAACAAGTTCTAAATTAGTTAAGCATGAACTGAGGGGGAAAAGTTGTGAATTTACCCTTCTGGTAACTCCACCCCACCGGTAAGACACGGGAAGGTTTCTTATCTCTTAAAAAAACATGATAATGTAACATGAACATACTAGCATAAAAAATACAGCAGCTTTCTAAAAAGATTAAAGTGAGCAGGAAATAACTTTTTTCTCCTTTCAATATTTTTGTAATGTGCACATATTCCTACTACGAGAGGCATGAGAAGAAGACAAAAAACAAAGAAGAGTAAACAGCATTGGATCCTGACATGGAGAGAGATCAAAGGTGAGAGGTTGCCCAGGCTGTGGTGAAGTTATTAGAGTTACATCACTCTGACAGGGTCATAAATCAGAGTCAGGCTAGAAAGCTACTTGGCAGCGTGTTCATACCCTCTGATCAACCCTGGCAAATTTATCCTGAGGAAACTACAGAGAGTAAACTCATAAGGGGTTTATTATGGTGGAAACTCAGAAATGACCCAAATGGAAAACAAATACATGTTCCAATAAAAAGCATGAACATGTGGAAAAAAAATTTAATTTTATATCACATTAAAAGTACAAATCAAAGGTACCTTAAAACTTCAACTATGTGGTAATGTGTGTGTGTGTGTGTGTGTGTGTGTGTGTGTGTGTGAACACATTGACCATTTGAAATGTCACTAACCTAAAACTGAATGGTATTTAAAAAAAAAAACAAAAGCTGAATGGTATTTTAAGTGTAAAATACTGACCATATTTGGAAGACTTAGCATGAAAACAATTTTGTTTTTTTATTATAATTTTCTTATTGTTGTTGTTGTGTAACAGCAAGTCAGAACCAACCCATAACTGGCCCTCCAGTGGGTTTTCAGAAACAGTTAATCATGTGGGAGGAGACTGCCCATCCTTCTTCCACGGAGCAGCTGGTGGCCTTGAACTGCAGACCTTGGAGACTGCAGCGCAGCTTCTTGCCAATAGGCCACCAGAGATCCTATTTGGGATATGTTTTGCATATGCACAGGAGGAGACTGCCCATCTTCCTCCACCCCAGTGGAGCTGGGGGGTTTGAACTGCATGCCTTCGAGATGGGCATGCATCTCTTTACCACAAGGCCACCAATAAACTATATTATTAATCTTCTCCATCTCTTCTCATTTTGCAATGGGCTTGTAAGAAACTGTAAGATGACATTTGAGAGGATAGGATTATTTGTGATTTCCCTCCTTTTCTAATGTCAATATAATTCTTTTAATTTTTAATTAAAATAGTCACATAAATTGAATTTAACGTTTTCCTATCTTTTTAATGTGACCATATTCTTAGTGCTTGACTTTGAGTAAATGTTTAGTGTGCAATACTGAAATTTTTCATCAAGAGCATTAATGAAATGATGCAAAGTTGAATGGTTGAAGAGTAAAGATAACCGTGTTTTGCCATTATAAAATCTTAAGCTAGTTTCTAGCCTGGGCGTTTCTATGTAAAAAGGTGTCAAGAGAAAGAGTATCTTGAAAGATCTTTTCAGTTTGAAATACTGTATAGATTGGAAACTACCATTTTCTAAGAAGTTCTTCTAACAATTGGCGGAAGTCTACCACTTAACTTTTTAAAATGTGCTGTTGAGACAGTGTTACAGCATAGTTTCACACTGGCTTTTTTTCTGTTGTTAAGTACAGTTGAGTTGCCTACAACTCAGAGCCTTAAAGAACAGATCTAAATCTTACCCTATCCTACTCCATCCATTCTTTGTGATCTTTGCCATGCTCAAGCCCACTGTCACAGCCATTGTGTCAAACCGTTTCCTTGAGGGTCTTTCTAGCTTTCTCTGAACCTCCACTTTGCCCAGCATTATGTCTTTTCCAAGAACGGGCCCCTCCTAATAACATGACTCAAATATATAAGACCAAGTTTCATGACCCTCGCCTCTAAGGAGCACTGTGGTTGCTTTCCCTCCAAGACAGATTTGTTGGTGCTTTTGGCAGTCCGTGGGATATTATTTTTTTCCTATGGTCCAGATAGGAAGCTCTGGTGGCCTATATCTTCTCTATAATCACAGAGTGATGATGGATATACCACTTATTCAATTCTAGACTTCAGTTTTATTTTTATTTGGAGAAACAAAGTTCTTATAAGAACCCAAGAAGTCACAATAGAGTCTACAGGAATATCTCAGTGCCAAAAAAGCATAATTTGGTCTAAATGATGCTCTATCAATCTCCAAGTACAAAGACCACTACTTACAATACTTCCATGGGTCTTTATTAAAAACGAGTGAAAAAAATTGGATTTATGAAAAGCAATTAAAGTCAGAAGCATCAGAGAAGCAAACAAGAGATTCTGCCAGTCTGAGATGCTCTTAGCTCAAAACAGTTGCAAAGACTCCATGTCACCTAAAACTTCATTGTGAGTCAAACGTACTCTAATTACTCAGACTCAAACACTACGTTTTGCAGTTTATAAAAAAGAATTTGATAGCATTAATCATGCTAACAATATTCCAAATAAAGCCAAAGTATATCAATAAAAGATTCATGGATGAGCCCTGGCATGGAGCCAAGAGCCCCATCTGCAAGTCACACATTACATATTGTCTGCTGCCCGTGATTTAGTTTTTCTTAACCCTTGGAAGTGCATGCTGGGATTTCCCCAAAGAGCTCCCAGCACTGAGGGCTTATCTACCAGCACCAGTGGATTAATTGGGAATGGCATGCTGGGCTCCTGGGAAAAAATGGTTGTGAACAAAACTGCCCAGAGCAATTTAATTTCTCATCTCAGAAAGGCTCATTTTCAAGTTATACAGAAGCCCTAATACCTATAGCGTCTAAATCATCTCTCAACTGAAATCAGAAATTATAGGAAGTCAATTAATGTGGGACTTGTTTTGTAAGAGTAGTCAAAAAGCCATATGTAAGTTATAGTTTTTATTAAATTATATGATATGAAATTAAAACGTGTTTCCCTGAAAATTTGGTTTGTAGGACAATGCATTCTTCTCATCAACGGCAGGCTTCATTTAGGAAGATATCATCCATCACAGGTCTACATGAATACCACCATAATGTCTTTGCATTATGTTAATCACCATGGTTACTTGTTCAGCATAGAATCCCTTAAACAGGCGTGAAACTGCCACAGTTGAGTGCCAAAATATGGCTCAAGGAGAAAAAGAAAGAAAACACAACATTGCTTTTCCTCCCAGTGGAGTGCACATATAAGAAAGTCAGTGATGCTAATTCACTAACTAGATGGCCAAGATTACATTTTTAAAATTTCTTAAAAATCCAGGAAATGGGAATTTCAGGTAAATCACTCATGAAATTAGACATTTTAAAGACTTTTGTATTTCTAAGTATTTTGACAAGTGGGGGCAGGGAAAGTAGCTAACATATATTTGACTTAAAGATATTACAAACCTGGTGTCAGGCATATATAGTCAACACTCAATCTGTACTTGCTAAATGAATCAGAACCTAAACATGTCCAAATGTTCCAGATTAAAGATTGGCATTTTATTAATAGCCACTAAAACAAATAATAAACCATCAGCAACTTACTCTCCGGTAACCAGTCTCACTAGAGGAAATCAGATTCGTACAAAACGAATCCCTCTCCCTTCCACCATCTCTCAAACTGCTTAATGGAAAAACCATTCTGCAGGGATAACTTCTTCAGAACATGGATCACTTTTTAAATATGGAAGGAAAAAAACCAATAGCCTTTTCCAATATTTTTAATAATCTAACCTCAACACTATCCAGAACCCCTGTAAGTTAAATTATGCATTTCATCATTCTGGTGTTATTTCTATTTGGGGAATACTGAATTTTAGGGTGGGTTTGTTGGGGTTTTTTTTAGGTTTTTATTTTTTATTTCCCTGCTAAAGTTGGGGAGCTCTGGTGGCCTAGTGACAAGAAGCTGTGCTGCAATCCTGAAGTCATGTGGTTTGAGGCCACGAGATGCTCTACAGGAGAAGGATAGGTGATCTACTCCCCTGTGATTAACCGCCTCCCTCTGAAAGCCCATTGAAGGGTCAGCTAGGGGTTGATTCCGGTTCTACAGTACACAACAACATAGTCAGTTAAGATTAAATAGTCAATGAATCCACTTTATAATCAACATTCACGGTAACAAAAGTCAAGAAATCAAAATATGTTGGGAAAAGCTGTGAGACCCCTTCAAAGTGCAAAAAGCAATGTCAGCGTGAAATCTAAGGTACATCTGGTATTTTCACTTGCTTACGGTGTATATGAAAAGAGAACAATGGGTAAGAATAACCAGAAAAGAACTGATGCCCCTGTATTGTAGTATGGGAGAAGAGTACTGAATATTCCATGAACTGTCAAAGGAATAAACAAGTCTGTCTCAGATATACAATCACTGTGCTCCTCAGAGGCAAGGATGATGAAACTTGGTCTCACCTATTTTGTACATGTTGCCAGGTGTGACCAGTGACTGGAGAAAGACTTTACGCTGAGAAAGGTGGAAGGTCAGTGAAAGTGAGGAAGTCCCTAAATAAGACGGATTGACCCAGTGACGATAGCAGTGAGTTCGAGCACGGCACAGGCCGTAAGGAATGCAGAGGATAGGGCCAAGTTCTGATTTGTGGTTCATAGAGTCATTACAAGTTATGGGTGACTTGATAGCATATAACAGTAACAGCAAGTCATTCAAATAAGCGGCATGAAATGACATGAGTCCAGTCTTCTCTTTAACTTTCTAAAAAATGCATTTACAAAATGAGGTTTGTTTCTATTAATGAAGATACATGCCCACATATGGTGCTGTCAAAGGAGAAAATACATTTCACCGTACTCTCAGGCAATTCCATCTCAGACTGACACATAAGCTGAGCTGTCCTTTTAAAAGATTTTTTTTAAAAAAAAATTTTATAGCCTCTCACAGAGGGTGAACTCACCTGTCCAGTTTCCCACATCCACTTTGACCACACAGAACTAGTCTCATCTTTGATTGTACACGTCACCACAAATTCTTCCCCTGCCCTAAGGAGGGAGCTAGCCTTGGATACAGAGACAATTGGCACCGTTTTGATGGCTAGAAGATAAAAGAAATGGCAGTCACTTACTATACTCCACTTTTCAAGTGTGTACAAGCTTACCTGGTCATCTTTTAAATAAAACAGCAAATATGGGAATAACATCTATTTGTACTTCTTGCATATCTAAAGACACCAGCAATTAAATTGTCTATCCTTCAAGTACATTCATTAACCTGAGTAGAAGATGTCTAATGTCTACTTTGCAATGGAAATGCTCCTGGACTTTCCTTTTTTAAAATGGGCAGAAATCCTGGCATGGCGACGTAAACTTTCATTTTTACTTCAAGACATTCTTAAGGTTTTATGAAAACTTCATAAACAACTAGTGATATTCTTTTAATCAAACAAGCAACTCTCAGTTGCATTGTGAGGGGGAAAAACATACTTGATGGTTGCTGAAAATTTCAGGTTTAAAATAACTAACTTGGATTAATTTCAGTGATCATAGTTTTCTCAAATAACCAACCTGTGGGTTTTCAACTTTCTCTCCAGCATGGTGGCTAGTGAATCCGAAAGGTCACAAAGTTTTGGTTAGCAGAGCAACTCCCTACCCACTAGGCCACCAGAACTCACTTTTTCAACAACTTTATAAAATCTGTGCTTAATAGCAGAATGCCAAGTGGGGATGAATTAAGTAGGTGTTCTCTGAAGTACAAAATATTTTGCATAATAATAATAACAAGGTCCACAGTCAGGTGGTACTTCCATCCTCATGCTACATAGAGTTTGAGAATGCATTAAAGTAAATTAGCTGAGGAGACAGGCAGCTCATGTATTAACAGCAAATCCAAGAGAGACGGATCTGTATGCTAATCTTTTCAGGGAGCATGAAGCTTCCCAATGGGTTTCTCTTGGAAGGAACATTTCTTATAAGACTTTGAGAGCCAGCAGATTTAAATTCGGCCCCCAGAGAAGTCCAAATGCCTATGCAGACATATCCACCTCGGCTACTGGCAGACAGGATCAAAGTCATGAAAGTTGTGGGTTTGGAATAGCAGCACAAAAAAAAAAAATTCACAAACAGCCAGCATTATTTTGAAACTGAGAGGTGGTAAGTTCTTGATTAAGGATCAGCTTCCTGATTTATTACATTAAGATGGACAGACAGCAAGGGAGAAGCCAGTTTAGAGTTGACTCCAGCCCAAAGGGACCCGTGTGTGCCAGAGCAGAGCTGAGCTCCACAGGGCTCTCAATGGTGGTATTTTGGCAGTAGCTTGCCAGGCCTTTCTTCTGCAGCACATCTGCATGAACTCAAATCTCCAACTTTTCAAGCTCTTTTAATCGTCTGATCGTGGATCCTTACTCAGGAACTGCACAAAGAGAGAAACTTTCCTCAAGTCAAGGGATTCTCCAATTCCCAGGAGAAAATAAGAAAAAAACTCATACCTGCTCTCACTTTGAGGATGAACTTTTCTGACAGCACCCGTTTGCCCTCCTGGTCTGCAGAGCAGCGCACACAGAGATGGTGGTAGGTGCGCTTCACATTTTGGATGGTGATGCCAGCTTGGGGATCAGTGACAAACATCAAGTCCTCGGGAAGAGGATTTCCCTGGCAGTCCCTCAGGGAGTAGTCCAACACCTGGGGGTCTGTCAGCGGGCAGCGCACCATCAAGTCACTCCCCTCTTTTCCATACAGAAGTTGCTCATTCACCAGGAAAAGCTTGTTCGGATCTGCGAATGTATAAAAAATTAGTCTGAATGGCTGGGCAGTGACACAGCACGCATGTCACAAACATTTAAGGCATGGCCTTTCATGACAACTCCCTGGTGGCCAGAAATGGTCACTGGCCTTTTCCTTTGTGAGAAAAAACAGATTGTGTCTAACAAAACGCTTTATCAGCTAGTAAACTTTATGTGGTAGGAATTAACCTTCAACCATTAAACATTTTATTCTGTTTTTTGGGTTGGTTTGGTGTTGGGCTGTTTTGTTTTTGTAACGGTTTACAAATTGTATTAGTTTGTCATACAATTTTTCATATTTGTTTTATATAATTATCAGATTTTTATCCTTTAAAACAAACACAGACACACAATACACATCCCAACACCAGCCCTCATAGAACCGACTTAATGTGGTTGGGTCAGAGCTAATTAATAGCTAACCCTCTGGAGGCTATAAATCACATGGGGAAGACACTGTTCGTCTTTCTCTCACAGAGTTGCTGGTGGATTTGAACCGCCACCTTTGGATTTAGCCTTACAGCTCCCTATAAGTTATGTCACAGATACTTCTATTATCACCATTTTACAGATGAAGGAAATCAAGTCTTGAAAAACCAAATCCCTCAAGTGTTGTGGCCATAAAAATGGCCGAGAGGGACTTAAACCCAGATCTGACTAGTTCACTCAACTTTGAGCTCTTAGCTCTTAAGATACTTCTGATTGTTTTGTTTTTAACAACAGGTCATCCTCAGTCAATCAGTTGAATCCTCTCAGGGACAGGGGAAGGCCTTCTCTCCTCCCAACCTCTTCCAGGTCGCTCAGAGTTCCCACACCCGTGCGTCTCTCAGCTCTCCAACAGAATCAAAAAAGGTATCAATAAGCCACTGAGGACATAAGACATTTGAGCCTCATGATGGTGGGGAAGACTCTCAACAAAATAGACAGACACAGTGACTCCAATGGTTGGGGTTTGGGTATGTCGTATATGATCAAGATGTACAGGATGATCGTTCAAATCCAACAGTGGTTCCTTGTGAGAAGAATGAGCAGTCTCTTCCCAAGTGATTAATAGCCTGGGAAAACTCTCTGATGGGTTAGCTGCAGGTCTGTTCTGAATCAATGGCAATGAATCAATCCTATCAAGGATCTAATCTTTTGAGTGGATCCTATCGAGGTTGATTTTGGAGTGGGGTGGTGTGTGTGTGTGTGTGTGTGTGTGTGTGTGTGTGTTAAGGATAAAATAAAATAATGTTCTAGAACAAAATGTTTATGAATGATTGTATGAAAAACCAGTATGATTTGGGCAGGTTCTGTGAGTTGCAGTCAATGGCACTTATTTATGAGTCAGCTGGCAAGTGAGATAGTTTGAAATGTGTAAAGACTCGCTTATGTGTTTCAGAAACGCTGTCATAATAAATACAGTAGTAATAATTAGGCCAGGAAAACAGGCAGAGAGTACTAGGAACCCCTCAAGAGTTTCTTAATGACAGAGTTGATCAGTGCATGCCACCCTATGCTGTGTGATAATAATGCAAATGAGGTAAAGCCTAAGAAAGTCAGAACCCATTAAAGATAGAAAGCTGTCAGAAACAGGAAACACAAATATTTTCCACCAAACCAAGTGATAAGATATTGCTGAGACAGCACACATAGCCAAAGATGCAAACTTGAGACACCTGGAAATACAGATGAAGTTCAAGCTCTCACAGGTTACACTGTATGTATGTATGTATGTATGTATGTATGTATGTATGTATGTATGTGGTTATGCCAAAAGATGACATTTAAAATCTAGTTTTGTGATGTTCTTTCCATCTGGAAATTGGGTGCTCCACAAAAATTCATTCAGCCTCAGGGAAATACACTTTATTACTGAATTTTGACTAATTTTTAGACTTTGACATGCAGCATCTCCCAGACTTCCTAACTCATCCTGAGGATAAATGACGTCATGATGACTGAACTGTGGTATAATTGGTCTATTTTCTTATTTACTCATCCACAGTGGATTTGTTTACCTCTCACACCAAAGTCCCACTTGTGTTCACTGTTATGACACAAAATCTTTTAATATCCAAAATCATCATGAGCAATAATCAAATATGTTGTTTTTGTTGTTGTGTGTCTTTGAGTAAGAACCAATTCATAGTTGAACCTCCAGCAAGTTTTCAGAGTCAGTTAAATCACATGGGAAGAGATTGCCCAACCTTCTCCCATGGAGCAGCTGGTGGATTCAAACTGCATGCCTTTACATTGCAGGGTAGTGTTTTACCACTAGGCCACCAGAGCTCCCTTAACTAAGTATGTTCTTGTTGTCATGTACCACAGAATCAGAACAGACCCACAGCTGACCCTCCAGAAGATTTTCAGAGGCTGTTAATCGCACCAGAGGAGACTGCCCATCCTTCTCCTGTGGAGCAGCTGGTGGATTTGAACTGCAAGCCTTCAGGACTGCAGTGCAGCTTCTTGTCACCAGGCATAGTTCTAAGTTATTCAGGATCATTTAATCCTAAGGGAAAAAGTGTGAGAGCTTTGCACCAGCGATTTTGTTAATTCAGCAGGTTCCCTCAGTTTTGCCATTGTCCATCTGTGCTATTAGAAAGCAGAATGAGTCTTCATTAAAAACAAAACAAAATAAAAAAAAATTCATTATTATCAAGCGTACTGTGACACACAGCCACCCTGCCTGAGAGTGTAGATCTCAGTGTTTTCAAGGTTAGAAATCAGTATAGAAGCAAACTGTCTTATTCTTCTCCCAAAAGGCAGCTAAGCTGGTAGGTTCAAACCTCCAACTTTCTCTTTAACCACTTTGCCACCGGAGTTTCCAGAATGTCCAGAGGGATTAAGATTGGCTCAACAATTGTGGAACCCTACCCAAAGCCCTAGCTGCCGCATGAGAGAAGGATGGGCAATCTTCTACTGTGTGATTTGTTGTTGTGGTGATGGTCGTGTGCTGTGGGGTCGGAACAGACCCATAGCTGACCCTCTGGCAGGTTTTCAGAGGCAGTTAATTGCATGGGAGATTTCCCATCCTTCTCCCATTTACTGCTTTTGAAAACCTGCTGGGGGGGTCAGCTATGGGTCAGTAGACTATACACACACCAATAACATCCCAGAGCCTAGGGACCTCTGGGAGCCTAGTCAATACAGAGCTACTAACTCAAAAGCATTGCCTTTCTGGAAGTTTGAACTCATCAATAGCCAGTTACCCAGGAGAAAGATGGGAAATCTTCTCCTGTGTGATTCATAATCGCTGGTAGGTCAGATCTTAGTCCGTTCCAATTCAGCAGTAAAGAGTTTGAGAGATTTTTTTGAGAGATTTTTAACCTAGAAACCTAAGCAGTGACTTGGCATTGTATATTTCTTTCCAGCTAGCTACCTCAAAAAAGGACAACTATTGATTAACTGATATAGACCATGGTCTTTGCAATCACTTGCTATGCATCAGAGAGCTGGACAATGATTAGGGAGGATAGAGGAGAATTGCTACCTTTGAGCTGTGGTGTTGGAGAAGAGTACCATGGACTGCTAAGAAAATGAACAGGTTCATGCTGTAAAGGGTTACTAGGCTGCTCCTTGGAGGCAAGGATTCTGAGGCTTCATCTGACATACTTTGGACATGTTGCAAGGAGAGACCGATCCTTGGAGAAGGATGTCATGCTTGGGAGGGTGGAGGGACAGCGCAAGAGGGGAAGACCCTCTGTGAGGTAGACTGGGGTAGGTGTGTCGGAGACAGTGCGATTGGCACAGGGCAGAGCAGGGTTTAGGGCTGTTGTACATAGGGTCACTATGAGTCACAGGCAACTCGGCACATAACAACAACAACAACATTGATAAACAAAGCAGAGATAAGCCAACTTCATGGCTAAAACGTGTATGTGCATTGTGTAGCATGCTAAAGGCTATACAGTTCTTTCTCTACCTTCAATTACGTAAGGTAGGCCAGGGTAAGTAATCTCATCTGAATGTTGTGATGATAAAACTGAAACTGAGGTTGCCTGGTAAATCTCCTATTGAGGATCAATTTACCCATTGTCCTTCCATAAATACCCTCGGGAGGTCCCAATTCCATTGCACTAGCAGCACGAGTCTAGGTTCAAAATCAGGGCTAGACTGGGGGATGCTCTCTATTCTCTTGTGATGGGAATTTGTCTTCTATATAGTTAGTATTTCCAATTCAACAAAGATACTATAAGATACCTACCCTTTCAAAGATATTACATGCACAAACGTACTATTACAGGTAAGAGGTATTAAAAGAGATCTCTTTTTTCCCCCTTTGTTTCTACAAGGTCACAATCTTTGACATGAATGGACTGATATTTATTAAGAACATGGTCAAAGGACCTGGGATGCTTAGCTGACCCAGCGATTTTTCTAGAATTTACTCCCTACAAGTGGGTCAAATCTTTGGAAGTACTGGTCTCTTCAGGCTGTTAGAGAATCATTTGGGTCCCTCAAGCATTTTCACTTAAGTGGGAGTATCTACTATCTCAAGGCATTAAAAGGTAATATTCCCAGAGGGCCTCATTTATTTTTAGGGTTTGCTCTGAACACCAGGACAAATGGGCTAAACACATTGTAATCTTATTAGGAAGAGTATCACAGACTTACAGACCTTCAGCTAGGAGTCATACCTAATGCCACCATAAACCTAAAAATGGGGGAAATGAACAAAGAACAATTTCTCTCAAGGTTCTCAGACCCAATTGGGGATATTTTGTCTCTGTTTCAGTCATCTATGGGATATCCAAAACTAAGAACTGAAAATTAAGTTCTCTGAAAACACTGTGTCAAAGAAAGTCAAGCATTTACCTCTAACATAAACATAAATGGAACTGCTTAAGCCGCCTTCATTGGTGCACGTGTATCGGCCTGTGTTGCTGGCCACAGCTTTGTCGGTGACCCATTCGGCATGCTTTTTCTCACTCACTCGATCCAGGAACTCAAAAGTCCATTTAGCAAAGGCTGGATCTGTGCACAGCAGCCTAATCGTGTCGCCGGCACTGACAATTAACTGTGATTCCGCTGGCTCGATGGATGGTGGAGACACTGCCTCTGGACTCCCAGATGGCTGAGGAGAGCCTGCCAAGAAAAATGAGAACCGTATTGAGCATGATCTTCTTGGCGAAACAAAGCATTTCTTCCAATATTGATTTCCATCGTCTGTGCTCTCTACCATAAAAATAGGACAAAGCTGCCCTACTATTTATGGCTAGAGAGTAAGTTCAGCCTAAAGCCTTTTTAAAATTCATCTAGAAAATTAGGACTTGTTCATAACTCAAAGCCAAGACTTGGTGGATGTCATGGCCTTTGCTGGGTTAAAAACATGCAACTGGGTCAAGTTTCCATTCTGAATATGGGCCATCGCCATGGCAGTGACATGCTGAAACCAGGCTGAGGAACAAAATCTTACATTATAATTTTTTTTTTTTTAAAAAAAAAGCAAACCCCTCTGTTGGAACAATGTGCTTTGACGTAGTTTGTGGATTTTTATTTTTCTTTCATTTCTGTGAATATGGTTATTCCTATGTAGTTCTCCTCACACAGCCAACAACAAACAACTTATTGCC